ATATATATATATAATGTTTGTATTTCCAGAGTTCATTTATTTACTGTACACATTAAAAATGAAGCGACTATAGCACCTTATCTTTATTAGCCAGGGCTTCAATTGTTATTTTGCTTACTGCTGGAAATAACAATCATGGCTTTCTAGTTTAAATATGTGATATAACCGGAACAATCCATAGAGTTTGAATAGCCTTATCTCTGTCTAAATAAAACATTTAATTGTTGGCATCCAGCCTGTGTCATCTCGATTTACTGCAGCTAGGGACAGATACACAATAGTAACCAAAAAAAACCCAAAAAACAGCATTATCAAGAGGGAATAAAATAGTCTGCGTCTCTTTTCTCTAAAGAATCCAGACAACACCTGGTCCTCACAGCTGTTTGATTCTCTAGACAAATGAAGCTTTGAAGAGTATCGAAGAACTATGAGCACAGACACTGCTGCATTCTTTCTAGAAGTATGCATTACTTGTGACAAGGTAGATGATTGTACAAGGCTGCAAATATTGTAATGACCACTTGAGGGCAGCAGTGCTCCAACCAATGACAACACCAAGCTTTAAACATCTGCCATAATGATTCATTGAGCATGAGAGATTCCGCTAATCCTGGTGACCGGTGACTGCATGAAATGAAATGTGATGACAATCTACAGCAGAGGTAGTGAATTCACATTCAAGGAGATCTGGTGAGTAAGATTTTCGAGCAGAGGGCAGAATCACAGTCTGGACAGAAAGGTCATTCAGTTTTCGTCCGTACTGCGGTCTGCCATTTAGGCTGCATTCACACCAGCAGCTGCACTACAACACACAGCTGCTGGTTTGTATCCCCAGACACAGTGCTGATGTTGATACCGATGCACTGTTTATTTATTTATTGTTTTGTTAGAACTGCCTTACGCACACTTGTCCATTTGAATCAGATGAAGGGGGCAGCAGGCTTGGTTTTAATTTTTACATTTTTACTTTTTAATTGAACACTTCTTTTTTTTTTACTTAACTTTTGCTAGTACAAAGAGGCTAACAAGCCCCTATGTGGCAGAATTTAGAGGAAACAGCTTCTCTTTATGGAGACAAGAACAATCAAATACAGTGTTGTGCTTGATTGTCTGTTTACCCGGCAATTCAGCTGGGAACACAGCACGTCCTGCTTCACTCATCACAGAGCAGATCTGGGAATGGACGTTCCTTAGTTGGCTCCTGCTCTCCATCCTGACACCCTCTGCCGTGGTCCTGGGTCGCCGAGATGATCAGGGGAACCCTGAAAACATTGGCGGGGAGTTATGGCAGGGCTGGCTGTACCCCCCTTTCCCCATAGGTAGCCCTGCATGACGTAATCGGTTACTTGTACGCCAGTGGTCCTAGAAACCAATGACTGAAGCGGAGGTGCGGCCTGCACTGGGTTATAGCTGGCAGTGGACGCACCGGCCTCGGAGGCCAGCTTATCCATTGTCAGGTAGCCATAACCCAGTACAGGTGCAGATAACATCTCCGAGTTTGATGAAGGAGACCCAGCGCGGCCCCGAAAGCACTTATATATGAGAAACAGAATGCGTCAATAAATGGATGTTTTTTGATTTTGTGTGCTGGTGACACATTTCTAGTGATCTGGAGCAGGCACACATCTCAGAAAAGTCAGAAAGAAAACTGAATCCTCATTTTCACACACTTGATACCAACCTGTGACCTAAAAAGTACTGAAGCCACGGTTTCTGCATAACAGCCAAGGAGCATTTTCAGGAGAAGTCAGCAATGACAGCCCCCATGTTTTAATGTGCTGTGGTGTCTCATGGTGCTTTCTGTTCAAATCTAAGCCTTAAAATAGATTTGTAGCAGACAACACAGGCTTACTTTAAGATTGAACTACAGGCAAACAGCTAAGTACACAGATGAAATACATAGAAGGAAGCTGTTTTACATGCCAGAGGATTTGTATTTCTGTACATTCAGTTATGACGTGTATAAAGGCAAAGCCTTGTCTGACAGGACAGAAGACCTGGATTTTCTCTGCTGCATTTAAGTAACACTTACAGGTATTGCCTCTCTCCCAGCCTGTGACTGGACAGTGAAAAGAGAAGAAGCAGAATGCTCAGCTCATCTCTCTAACACTCTGCTCTCTCTTTGTATCAGCATGTCCAATGTAAGTAAATGAGATTGCAGCACAACTGATGCTGGCTCCTTGTGCTGCTTCTTTCTCTCTCAGTGAGCTACTTACACTGCTTGAATAAAAAGAATGACTTAATAAGTACGAAGCTGCCTTCATTTGTGTCTCTTTGTGCCTGGAGTTTAGCTTTAACATACACATGATCAGATGCCACTGTTTTAAATGAAATGCACCAGATTTTGTTGTTACAGATTGCCTCATGGCCAGAATCATTTGTTTGTCAGCGGAGCCTAAAGATTTCATATAGCCCTCATTCATCATACAATGTGACCCTGCCCTGCCCTCACTTACCTGCCAGAACCAACTGCCTTGTAATATACACAGACTGCATCGGAAGAGCTCCAGGATGATATTTCCACGGAAGAAGACCTCCAGGAATATACACAGCGCTCCACCAAACACCGCAAACAAGAGGAGCAGATGAATGTGAAGGTCCAGCTCCTGCCTGCCATGGACATGATAGTAGAACAGGAATCCTGAATTGCAGAGAAAATGTATCTCTTATTAGAATGTATTTTACCATCATAATATAGATATTATGATAGATACCATGATATATGCTGCACTTCCTAGGAGATAATACTACTATATATGCTGCACTTACTGGGAGATAATACCATGATATATGCTGCACTTCCTAGGAGATAATACCATTATATACGCTGCACATACTGGGAGATAATACTACTATATATGCTCCACTTACTGGGAGATAATACCATGATATATGCTGCACTTACTGGGAGATAATACTACTATATATGCTCCACTTACTGGGAGATAATACCATTATATACGCTGCACTTACTGGGAGATAATACTACTATATATGCTCCACTTACTGGGAGATAATACCATGATATATGCTGCACTTACTGGGAGATAATACTACTATATATGCTCCACTTACTGGGAGATAATACCATTATATACGCTGCACTTACTGGGAGATAATACCATGATATATGCTGCACTTACTGGGAGATAATACCATTATATATGCTGCACTTACTGGGAGATAATACCATGATATACGCTGCACTTACTGGGAGATAATACCATTATATACGCTGCACTTACTGGGAGATAATACCATGATATATGCTGCACTTACTGGGAGATAATACCATGATATACGCTGCACTTACTGGGAGATAATACTATATTTATAAAAGACCCATCTCCAAAATGAGCCCTTTCCTCACAGGAAATCGCACTCTTAAAGTAACCTTGCTATCCTAAAAGGTTTGCTTTACAGAATTCCCGAGCCCTTGTAACGTCGCAGTAAAGCGAAAACTTACAGGCCCCCAGGAGGGATTTGCCATAATATGCTTATGGACAAATGTCACAGGGACAGGAATGGAGAGTAAATCTTCCATAAGCTCACCACACACATTACAATCTGATTGTACAATCTACTTGAGATCTAACAACAACTATGTAGTTCAAAAGTGTTCCTGATTGGATACAAATTGATTGGATCATTTAGGTAGGTCCTCCTATCACATAGATTTGGTAGATCCAAAGTAGATTGTACAGCTGAAGAGGGACACATTGCAGAGGTTCTAACCCCTTTCCTTCTTTATCCAAAGTTAAAACAAAGAAAGTTCTTCCTGGAGTAATAAAGTCAATCCATCTCTTCCTTTTGCCAGATTCTCTGACTGAACGTAACTCAAAAGGCACTTTCACAAAGTTCTACTACAGGGCCATGAATGGCTTTTGATGCAACCACTGAGTGAAGCAAGGACATTCAGCTTAACCTAGCCTAATATGCAACTGGGAGAATGTTTACATGACACAAACTGAACAGGAATGCCATAAAACACCTTCAATAAATACAGCAATGGCGAGCATCAGTCTATCCATTGCAACAGGAACAGCTTTTGTGGTGTGGGTGATGACATCCACCACCCCCGAGATGCCATAGAAGAAATACATGGTGGAGTGCTGCCAGTTCATAAGGTGGTCCCAATGCTTCTCTTCATGATTGTACAGCTTGAGGTGAGGACCGTCCGGCACAAACTGTTCAGCCAATATTCCTGAGGACAAAAACATAGTCTTCATTTAAAGAAGAGCGGTGGGTATTATATACACCCCAGCCAGTAATAAAGGGTGTACAGAACAAAAAAATATTGTGCGGGAGTTTAAAGGGTAGGCGTATATGTTAATAAAGATTCCAGGATTTCATCTGTGGGGGATCAGAACAATGGTCAGAAAAAGAAGGTATGACTTTGGAAAGTCTATCAACCGCTAATATGTGCAAAAGCCATAGCATCCCTATGACCTATGACCATTGGGACCTACGTACTCTCCTACTTCCAAAACATACAAATAGACGTATACAAAGACACATTCATCCTTATAAACAGTGCAAGCAACCACAAATCATTCTTCAGCCATCAAACCCATAGAGAGCAAAATAATAAAGTGTGACTATAGGTGTTTTAAAAAGAGACCCATTACTCCACAGTGAGGGGGGGGGGTGGTATTTCCTTTATAATACAATGTCCACATACGCAACATCAAAAAGAGTTCCCTTCTGAAAAGAACTTACAGTAGTGGTCAACTCTCATGATATAGGGGACTCAAATGCAACCTCTGACATCAAAGGGCCAAACAATAATATTCAGCAAATGCAATGGTACAGAAAGCTGTCAAGAGACTGTAGACATGCAACAGGCGATGGTCAAAGACTAGGGGGGGCATGCCAAAAGGGATTGTCTGAGACTGAAAACTTGGTGTAGGAGTTATTGAAGACCAGAGACATGTTTTAGTAGACTGTGATAAACTGGAAACATGTTTCAGACAAGTTAGATAGATAGATAGATAGATAGATAGATAGATAGATAGATAGATATGACATGAGACTGCAAAAGATCCCTATTAGAGCCCCTTCACAATGCAATGCTTTTACATGTGCACTCCCTACAGTCCAATTAAAAATGACTGACCACATTTGACATTTCTCTCAGCAAGATCGATTATATAGGATCCAAGAAAAAAAGAAAAACAAAAACAAAACATAAAAATAGAAGAAAAAGTGACAAGAGTGAAATAAAAACATTTAACTACTTGAAGCCAAACTAAAAAAATTATATTTTTCCTTCTCTGGCTTGAGTGAGCACCTAGGTAAGGAAAACACAGGCTACTATGTGCAGGGACCCTGAGGGCCACATAATAAGTGCCAAAGCCCACAGGTTGGGCCCTAGGGACTTGTAGTACAGTGTATCAGGGTTATAGGGCTTTACAATCGTAATTGCTCAGAGTTATCTCTAATTGGCCTCAGCAGTGATTTAAAGGTCAGGAGGAAAAGGGAACTGGAAAATACAACAGATTGGCCTGAAAAGAGGAGTTTTCAGGAAGGGTTTAAATGGATCAAAAGTTGGTGCAGAGCTTGTGTGATCCGGGAAGAGGACAGAGAGTTCCACAGACCAGGTACAACAGAAATTCTTATTTCCTTGTGTGCAGCATGTGCCCGATAGATCCACAGACACATGCAGGACCAGCTATTTAAATGCCATCTGAATATATCCCTTGGCAAGAGATAATATTTTTTTTCCTGTAAAACTGGATCTTGAAGAGTTTAGTACTTTTAACCATCATATGCGCCATCACTAACTCGAAGAGTTGGTTTAAATGTTCACAGTGCATTAAGGGAGCACATTAAATCACGTTGCACTATGCATTATTTTTAGCGCACCCCAGCATGGCCAAAACCCCACCTAATCCAAAATTAATGGAACTGCAATGCACGATCATGTGCAGTACAGCCCAATAGTGTAATGCCAGCCTAAAGGCAATATTGAGTGTTATTCATTTATGATGGTCAGGACTATAAAAAAGTAAGGTTTTAAAATATGTTAATATTATGCAGTACTCTTTTTAGCCAGCAGGGGGAGCGCCAATTTCTTTTTCACATATTCAGCTATTTTAGTTTTCAGTTGTGCAGAGAAAACCTAATGTTTACACAATGATTCATCGCAGCAGTAAGAGCTATAAAACACTAGTGATCATGTCCCTCATCAACGGGAACGCTAGAGAGGGCACAATTTATTTGTTTCTACAGTGTCCCTCCTTCGCTGGTGGAAATGCTGCAGAATCTCCCCAGCCAGCGAGAGAGAGATGTTGTAGAAACAGGAGAGTCGTTTCTCTGCCTTCTGTAGCAATCTTCTCAATGTCAAGTTATCGACAGCAACAAAATTGCAAATGTGACCTAGGCCTATCTCATCATTTATTAGGGGGGACAGTAGGCGGTTTTAATAATACAAAGAAAGACCCAAAGCAAACTTTAAAAAAAGAATAATACTACCCCAAAACCAGTCAATCTTTGATATGCGGCAGTGAGGCATCTGCACATATTTGCCCTTCTGCCCATTTGTTCCACCCACTGCCAAAACTGGCCACACACATTTAGAATTTTTCTAGGTCAGCCCTGTGCTAAGCAGCATTGATGGCGGAATCCCTGATGCCGGCAATTGATTAGAGAATTAGATGCAGGTGCTGTTTGGCTCCGAATTTTCCGACCAACTGCTTCCACAAAAGTCAATTAAAAAAAAAACATGACTTTTGTCACACGTGGGGTGCCGACAGGGCCACCCACAGCTCCCACGGTTCAAAATGTGAGCAGTGTATGGCCAGCTTTAGGGGAGCCCACTTTCTCCCTTGGGCTATATATAACAAGTGAAGAATCTTCAATTAAGCACGTTGGGTGAAACTCAGGTGGCCATGCTGGGGGAAGAAGAGTGTGTCTATAACCTTGGAATAAAATTTTTATATTTGGTGAAGACCCCTGGAGTGCAGATACTGTATAGAATTTGAAACTTTGGAGCGAAGACATGCTCAGTACCTGCACCTGGGATATTCTCAAGGTGGGGAATCAGCATGAGAATGGGAGCGGTGATTTGTTTGGTACAGGTTAGAAGGAAAAGTAAAGCTCCTTGCTTGGCAGCAGACAAACAAGACAGAGCCAGGAACTATAGAGGGAAAATCTCACTGCTGCTGTCCCCAAGGAATTTAAAAAGCAGTAAGTGAATCAAGCACTCCAGACAGTAAAGTTTAAGGTGGAATGTCTTTAATTTCCTGTACGCTATATCAATATGACAAGTACAAAGTTCAAAAATGAACAGTGAACAAAGGTGAGGCGTGCCCAACTGTCCAGTGTACAGCCTTTATATGTGAAGGAACACGGTAATGCCTCTCCCTGTCACATGACACACACTGCCCTTGTCACATGACAATAAAATGAGAACGCTCAGATTTATAAGCTCAAGTCCGGTCACTGTGACACAGGCACTTCATGAAAAGAACAAGCACAATGACTTGACTTACCTATTAAAGCAAATATTGCTTTCACTGCTCCTTCGATCACCTCCACACGCTGGAAACCAACTTTGGAACCAAACCAGCAAATCTTTTTCTGCTTTCGACAGGCATATTTCAGGGGGTATTTCACAGACCACCACAGGCCAAAGATAAGGAAGAAACTTCCTGGAAGTGCATGACCCTTAAAATTAGCCATCACTTCAGTAGTTCAATTTCTGTAAAGGAAACAAAAAGATTAATAGGAAAAGAAGAACTTTCATCTGAAAACAGGGCATTGCTTTAAAATAAGAAGAAGACTATTGAGAACTGATAAACCCTTTTCCTACAACCTTTGATGGGGATACAGATATGCATTCCAGGATAGGAGATGCTTACAAGTTTGCATTTGTATCATAGGAGTACATATGAATTCATAAAAAGGTTGTCATTCTTCTAGAGTTATTATAAGCGTGGGATATGTGGCCATTTTATACAGACGCTTTGCAGAGCGCAGTTCTCTTGAAGAGGTCATTTCATACCAGATGCACTATGGCAAAGACAAGGCAATTTACTTATTTTGCACTAATGCCCTTTGTGACTCTGACACAGTACAACCACATTGCACTGCATCAAACTAGTAGTCCCATCACTGGAGCCATTTTTTTATATTTATTTTATTGTTTATCCGATTAATCGATTAATCGAACTTAATAATCGGCTAACTAATCGATTTTGAAAATAATCGTTAGCTGCAGCTCTAACTGTGACCAATAAAACTGACTGAGTGGGTTACACATCAGCACTGTTTCTTCCATTGCACACCAGCAGCCATGCATTCAGTGCGTCTGGCTGCTGTGAACCAGTAGTGGAACAGATATAAGGATGCGTGAAGGGAAGTAGCCACTGTTGTAGTAGCCATTTGTTTTAAAGTAGATTTTGGAGCCTTTACTCCTATAACAATTTATAATGTCCATGCTAGCTAAGTTTATTTTGGATAGGGTGAGGAAAGGTTAGAAGTATGGTGACCAAACAGGGAGTGAGGAAAATCTGCTCAACATGAAACACACACCTAGGTTTAAAGTGTATTTCCACTTTTGCAGCCACATTTGGATAAAGCCTATTTTGTTTTTCTTACAAGTTCTTATTTACATAGCATTGTCTCGTCACAGCTGTCTGACCATGCTTCTCATCAACCACAGCATGGATCAGAATTGATGGCGCACTTAGTCAACTTTGGGGGCTTAAAGAATTACGTTGCAGAGATACTTCTTTTAATTCAAGAGTTCTTTAAAGCCAACCTGTCTGCCATATTTATGTAAAAATCCTTTCTAAGAACAGGAATCTCAGAATTCCTGCCCATCCGACATCTTTCTGTACAAAGAGAGTTGTTCAACGTGCAATAAGAGTGCTTTTATTGGAAAAGGGAATCAGGTGAGTAGGGCGTAGCAAGTGGGGAAGTCAGTCCCATAGTAACAAAGTGAAACCAGGACCAGGAGGTGCACAGATGAGGCTTTTTTGATAAAAGGTAAATGTTTCTCTGAGCCAACACTTGAGCCTTTAGTTTCAGAAGTTTAGAGTGACACTAAACAGGTAATCATTCTTTAAAAATGCATTCAAGTACCTTAAAGGAGAACTATGAGGTGAGTGAAAATCAGTCATCCTCATAGTTCGAGCCGACGCATAACGTCGCTCGCTCACTTCTCGATCGTCTCCCTGCAGAGAGCCGTGACTGTCAGTCACCGCTCCCCCAGGGATTCCCCCCCCCCTTCTCCGATACTCTAGCGCTGACTGGAGGAATGGACGGAGAGGGGGCGGGCACAGTTGGGTGGACCTCAAAAGCATTGGCGGGATCCGTCCTGGCTGCGGCGGTCTCAGTATACCGCGAGCTGTAGCTTGCAATATACTGAGCTTTGGGTCACAGGAGGACGCTAGTATATGTCCTCCCGTGACCCTTAAGAGAACTATGGGGAAAAACCACTTACCCCATAGTTCTCTTTTAACTATTAACAAAAACGTATTTATTTGTGCATGACTCGGCTGTAGATCCTCAAATCATCTCTGAATTCATACTAACACTGTCCTTCCTTCTGGAGTGTGGCTACTTTTGTTCCCCATGGTCCCTGTGTGTATTGTAAACTAAACATGAGATTGTAGGCCATGACGGGAGTGAGCTTGGAGCGGTGGCTTCTTTACAACACACGCATGGACCATGGGGAACAAAAGTAGCCACCCTCCAGAAGGAAGGATAGTGTTAGTATGAATTCAGAGACGATTTGAGGATCTACAGCTGAGTGATACACAAATAAGATACATTGTTGTTAATAGTGAAGGTACTTAAATGCATTTTTAAGATTTAACTCCTGAGTTTAGTGTCGCTTTAAAATACCGGTAGTTGAGGAACGCGCCCGCAGGTGACAGCTATTACATTTCAGTGGTACACAGCTAACCTTTCTATCAGTAGTTTGTTTTAAAGGTGTTTCTACTGATCACTAAGATAGCTGATGTTTGCATTCCCTTAATGAAAAAAAGAACACTAATCTGCAGTCCCCCATAGCAACCAATCTGAATTCACTTTTCTAAAGCCAGACCAGTACAAGGTGGATTCTGATTGGTTGCTGCAGGTTTACACTCTTTACCAACTGTGCATTATTAATTGAAGGGTGATTGTAGTAAATGATTATTAATTTAAAAAGGGATTGTAGTAAAATGATTGCTTTTCCACCACTGGGACCAAAAAAATGACTTAAAGCCCCTAATTCCTCTTCTGAGCTAAAAGCGCAGGTGATATCAAATAAATGTTCCTTTACAATTCCACATAACTAATGCAGACTTTGAGCATAAACTAGACTATATAATAAGTTTATCTCAGCCAATCAAACAGGAAATCCATATGGTCTCATCTGTTTTATTGCTACAAATTGCCTTTACATGCACGGATCAAAGAGAACCTGGGAACTAAGGAAGAATATTTCTCAGTAATGAGCTGCAATCACTGGGGGAATACACAGGGAAAGCGCAGTCATAATGTGTATAATCCTCGGGGACGAGGGACACCACGCACACCGCAAGAGACTAACGCAGAGGAAAAGGGCACTAAACATAAATAACAAGCTTATTTAAGGAAAAGTCGCTTTTAATACCATTTACATGTTAATATCTGCAGAGAATGTATCAGAACTAAATATACAGCATTGCAGATTGTCATAGAAATGAAAGGGGCATTTGGTTTCCATGGCATAATCTAGAGCAGTCGTTTCCATGGCATAATCTAATATCTCATAAAAGATATACACTGTCAACTGACCTTTAGGATGGAACTCCAATTTGAATAACAAAATTAAAAAACAAAAACAAAACATGCTGCCTTGTCAATTTTAAAATTAAATAAGGAGCTCCCGTTACAATACTCACCTTATCCCCAGAATTGTCCCCCATCAGACTTACCGTTTCGAGGTGGATTATAGCCAGCATTATCCAACCCACTTCCTGTGGGGCTCCGGCTGTCATGGACACACCCCCCTGGTGGGTCATCATCATAGATTCACAGGGCGCACAGTACTCCTGGATTGCAAGACAGTCATTCTATAAGCATTGCTCTGTCCAGGAAGAAGGACCTCCCACTGCCATTGAGGATGAAGAACCCACAACGTCACTGGACCAGCCCAAAGACTTGTATTTAAAGTGTATGTAAACCCGGATGATGAACTTCCCTTATTTGCTCCTGTAATGGCAATGCCTGTACCCCAACTGGATACGCTGTCAGAGCCAGCTCCCTGTGCGATGGAACTAAGAGCAGAAGTATCTGTAAAGAATAAGTCAAGGCAACTGGACTTGCTGTATTTTTTCTTGAAGACGTTTCACTGGTCATCCAACCAGCTTTCTCAATTCAGAATGACTTGTTCAAAAATTCTCTGGGAATACATATGGTGAATGTTGCTCCAATCCACATAATCTGTTAATCGCAAACAAGGTGTTGATTGCATTTGCATAATTGGAGCTAGAAGATGTTAATAACCCAACGCCAAAACACAAGATGAACAACATTGTGTATGCAGTTCAGTGCAGTGAGGAGTGCTCAGAATTGTATGTCGGTGAAACAAAACAGCAGCTACACCAGCGCATGACACAGCATAGAAGAGCCAAACCCTCTGGTCAGGATCCGGCAGTATACCTACAGCTGAAGGAAGATTGTCACTCCTTTGAAGACAGGTAAGTGCGCATCCAAGACAGGGAGTAGGACTGGTTTAAAAGAGGTGTGAAAGAGGCCATTTAGTTAAAAATGGAGAAGCCAAGCTTGAATAGAGGTGGGGGTGAGACATCTATTGTCTGCCACATACAATGCTGTTTAAACACCTCTCTCTGCACAGGTTATTAACACCTCCTTGACTCCAGAGTTCTTCATAATCATAAAGAAATTGGCCTAAATCATTAGTCTGTATTGCTTTTTTTTTATGTCGCCTGTCCCTTTAAGAAAAAGTATCGGTAATTGGTATCGGCAAGTACGTGAGGGGAAGTACTTGGTCCTGAAAAAGTGGTATCGGGGCATCCCTATTTATAAGGCAATGCTCCAAATGAGAGTTCTTACATAATAACGCAATGAAGAAAACTCCAACCACTGTTATTTCCCCCAGAGCCAGGACTGGCCAGGCAAACAGCTCGTTCTCTCTCCTCCATTGCCTCAAACTAGCGTAGTTGTCAAACTAGAGGAGTCCAGTTTAAGGGAGAAACTGGTCCAGAGGACATCATAAGATGGTTGGGTTAGGTCACACATCCTACTTTTCACTCAAGTCTGTGACCCATTTAGCATTTTTTTTAATTGCTTTTCAGGTCCTCTAGAAGAAGACTCTAGATGAGAATTGTTACTGAAAATTGTTCAGGATCTGCCTAGAGCATGGGTAGGGAACCCTGGCACTCCAGCGGGTACAAATCCCATCACTCCTTTGGCTGAGCCTTGCAATGCCTCATGGGACATGTAGCTCCACAACAGCTCATGTGCCAAGGTTGCCTACCCCTGATCGAGAGATTCCAGAGGGATCCTGAGGGGTCTTTGTTCTCAGAATTTGGATGAAGGGAACTGCTCTCGGTCAGTCACACAGTTAAGTTGCATCTAAAGCCAAAACTTTTTTTTCACTTTGGACAGAGTGCTGGAGGGTTAGAACTACTGTCAGCTGTTGATGGCTTTGTCCACACTGGAGAGATTCACCCTATTTATCCATGAGAACATTGTCACTGGACA